ACTGATTCTCCTCTATTCAGCACTAGTTAGGCCCCATTTTGAATTCTCTGTCCAGTTCTGGAAGCCACATTTAAGAAAGATGCCGACATTCTGAAACAAGTTCAGCAGGGAGGACCAAGGATGATCAGGGGACTTAAAGGAGATTCAATAGCACTTTTCAAATACTTGAAACACAGTCATACAGAGGAGGGGGAGGATCTGTTGTTTTCTATGACTCTATGATGATGATGAATATCCAGCCTCATACTGGCCAAAATCTTCCAGCATACCTCTTTTGGACACAATTTGCCCCAAGTTAAAAAAATCATAGTACAGATTACCAATTGCACCCTGAGTTACACAACTCTGGAAGCAACACATGATGTCTACAATGATTTCTTCAACTTAAGACAATTCACTTCCAAAAATCACATCATTAGTGTTATGCCAGGAGAACTAGGTGAGAAGACCTGGAGTCTATTGTCTTAATGCACATGTTTACTGCTCTTCAAGTGACAAGGTTATAGAAAGCCTACATTGTCAGTCTACTAATTCCACATAGAGTCTGCAACAAGATATGATCCTGAAGAGTGCTTCCAGTCTCTGGCTGCAGAGCCAAAGGCTGGGAGTTTGATTCCCCACAGTGCCTTTCAGGAGTAGAGCCAGCCTGTGTGGCCTTGGGCAAGCTGCATAATCACAGGACACCCCCAGAAGAAGGGAATGGGAATCGACTTCTGAGTCTTCTCTACCTGGAAAACCCTGGAAAGGGTTGCCCGAAGTCAGAATTGACTTGGCAGTACACAAAGATTACTATGCTGTGGAGTGCTGCCCGTGACCTTTTTCACGTAATGGTGGTCTCACATTTTGAGGGATCCTAGGACAAGATGTTCTCTTATTCCCCTCACTTGACCATTGCTTTTCTTTCTTTCACAGCCTGATATCAATGGGAGAGGAGAAGAGAGGGCGAAGAAAGGGGGTGGGACAAAACAGGTAGAGGTTACTCGTCATGTCTTGCTTGTTCATGATGGCTGCAGCAGGACCTGGAGGTTTCGGACAAGGGCAGTGGGCCCCCTACTGGACTACTATGGCTTTCTGGCACATACTGTCCTTGCCTTCTAATGCTAGCCTTTTCGATGCATTGGCAGAGAAAGATCATATTCATACTTAAATTAAGGAGGGACAATTGTTCTCTCCTAAAACCAGACTGTCCTTGCCTTCTAATGCTAGCCTTTTTGATGCATTGGCAGAGGAAGATCATATTCATACTTAAGGAGAGACAATTGTTCTCTCCTAAAACCAACAAAAGTGCACTGCCCACATTGGCAAGTGACAAAATGGCTAAAATGATGTCAGAAACATGGCACCTCCATGACCGTTGCATCGTGTGGAGGTGACACTCATGGGCAAACATCTGGATGTTCTAGCAGAGATGGCTCACACAAATTCAGCTGCAAGGTGTTGGATGAGGAGAAACCAAGTGATTTTTTTAAAAAGCGCTATGCAGTGCTGTCGTTCCCCATGAGTGAGGGGTGCAGTTTGACTATGGAATGGAGCTTGAAGTATTTACTATGATTCTAGTCCCAGGACCCCAAAAGTAATTTGTAACCATTGTAGCAACACCTTTTAAAAAAGGAAACTCTTTTCCTATCTCTTGAAAGTTGCTAAAATAGTTATTGTTCATGGAAATCTGGACACAGGAGGCAGGCTTTGAAGCATTTTGTGAGGTAACAGCTCCATAACCATAAATGGAGACATAAAGGTACAGTACATCACAAAAGGCATCCCATGATCCCAGAGATTAGAAAGGAATTCGTTTTATAAATTATGCCTAAACACCTCTCCAAAATAGTTCATTACCATTAACGCTGCATTTTAAAAGAAGGAATGTCTTAACGTTGTTCATTACGCTTTCTGCTACTTTTTGTTGCTCTTCAGTTCTTTTTCATGATTAAAAGAATAAGGAAGTAATTTGGGAATATAAATCTCAAAATACCCTCAAATCATATTTAGTTCCCCACAAGCAATAAAAGAAAATGTTACTCTTTTTACACAAACAATCATGCTACCTGAAAAAGGGATTGTTGCTTTGCCCCCATTACCCACCAAGGTAATTTCCAAATTGTAATCTCTCTCTTAGTAGTTGACATTTCTGGTGTATTGAAGTTATACAGTATTTTAGTTTTTGGACAAAGCAAGCTACAAGATACTGGATATTTATGACTAGTTACTTCCACACACTCTCCTCTGGATGTAAGATCTTACCTCTGCAACTTTATCTTTAGATACTTGCATGTGTATCATTTCACTTACTTCAAAATGTGGATATGCCAGTCGTGCTATATTTGGGACCCCTTCTGCTTACTCTTTTGAGAGTGGATAAGGACTTTTGCCCTGAAATCTTGCCCTGATTGTAGGCAACCCTAGCTCCTTCAATGCAAAACCCTAATAGGGTGTTACATGATCAAATACAACATGAGAAGATTTTTTTTAAAGGGCAAATGGTGGCTTGTTGAAACGTGGTGGAAGTGAATAATTAGTGTTGCAAGATGTGTAAAAGTGGAGGTGATAAGTAGCCAGGGCAGACTGGATAAAATCTTGATCAGCCGGGGAAACTGGAGGGCTGGGGAAAGCTGCAGTGCTTTGGGAGGAGGAGAAGCCCATAAACAAGAAAGTGGGAAGCAAATAATGCCTAAAGGCTAGGCTTCGTCGGCTCTGTTACAAGCTGCCTAACAAATCAATTCCTCTGCCAGCTGAGTTGTGCAGAAATAATTTTTTTTTTTTAAAAAAAAGCCTCACCCTGGGTCATAAGAGGATAACTGAAAGGGGGAAAAATGCTGCAGTTTAGCAATGGACTTGAGACAGTTTCTTCAGAAAACCTGGATGTGCACATAATAACAATTCTGAGGAAAAAACAAAAGGAAATAAAAATAAAGAAAACTAAAACATGGCACCTTAAATATGAGCTTTCATGGATATGACTCCATTTCCTCAGACATACTGTAAAAGAGGAAAGGCTGGGGAAAGTGTTTTAAAGTTGGTGCAACTCTATCTGTATAACTGTCAAGTGCAAGTAATTACTCTAGCGATGGCTATTTCCCATGCACAGATGTCATATTCTCCAGGAATGGGAGCCATGGGGGGGGGGTTCCTACCTAAACTATATAGTCATGTTCCCAGCCTGAACCTAGTGGGAAAAGTGGAAAGCCACAGAAGGTCCTGTCAACTTGTTAAGAAACTGGATGAAAGAAGAAGACCTCTTTAATCCAACAGCACATATTTTTACCCTACCTTTCTCCCTCTTTCCCTTCATCTATTGCTTCTCTTATCAAAATTCCCAGTTGTAAGTCCATCCGAGAAGGAACCTCCCTGCTTCCTTTGCTTCCGTTTGTTTCTCACTTAAATTAACACATGTTGGAACGGACTGCAAAGGTAATTTAGCCCATCCACTGGCTGTTGCAAGAAATTTGGTTCTGTCATCGATTATCCTTAATGCATGACTCCCAGACTCTAGAGTTTGGGAGTCATGCATGGATTGGTGCATGACTCTCACCACTTTCCAAGGCAATCAGTTCCATAGCTCATACTATGAGAAAGTTCTTAATTAGTCATTTTCTTATACTGTGAAACAAATTGTCGATTTGGATCAAACCATCTGAGCATGAAGGAAGAAATTTGCTCCATCGTGTGTCCCATGGATGTCAGCAGATTTCAGGCTTTAGGGGCTTTCCCCTACAAATCCAGAGATCTGTGGTGTGTGTGTGGAAGGACCCTTAGAAAGAAAGTTTGGGACCCAGGAATTTGTTTTAAGCACCGGAATGGCCATAGACCATACAGTTTTCTGAACCTATGTTCAGTGCCAATTTCCCCAAGCTTGTTTCCACTTCATCATACCTTGCACCGTGTTACTGTTGTTCTCAAACAATTAGGAATCGGAACCCTTTGCTAGTCTAGTGCAGATCCCTCCGGGCCCTTCAAATATGTCATCTCTCTCTCCTCCGGACGAGGAAACTTCAACCCTCCCACAGAGAACTTCATTTTTTGGTCCTTTACTCCCCTTCCCCCGGGGACCCTTTCATTTCGACAGGTCACTTTGCAATGCTGCACTCACAGAAATTTGGAAAGCTCCTTTTAAAAGAAGTAATAGACATAATGTAGAATTAATCCAGCGGACGAAAGATGCTTTGCGCCCTACAAGATCATCCCGTCTCGGCTCCGTTAGGAACGGTTTCAGCACTTTCATACATTCGTTCTTCTTAAAAATCAAATGTCCAGCCTCTGCTAGGCGTTTGTCTTCCTGATGGTATTGAGATGGGAATGTGGGTTATATTCCCATTTATTATAAACGACCGAAGTGATTTGATAAGGAAAAATCAACAAATCGTAGTCCGTTACCAGAATCGATGCACGGTGTTATTGCGTCTTATTATTAATACTATTGTCATTAATTATGAGTATTATCTAATTCTGACTTCGATTTGCCTAAGCGTTTCTCCTGCTTCCTTCCCGGATTGTTTTAACGCGCGATCCTAGCCGTTCCTGCGCAGGTTTCTGAGGGTTTTACTTTTCCCAATAAGGATCGGACTGCGAGCCTTACGCTTGATTTGTATTGTCAAACAGCGAACATGTAAAAGTAGGGATCAAAAGGCGGAGGTTTCGGCAACACGTATGTTGAGAAGCGGGACATACCTCCCCCCCCCATGCCTCCGTGCACGTTTCTGGGCTGAAATTCGTGTTTACGTGCGAAACGGAATCCGCCGCTCTGCACGTTAGATTATCCTTAATTAAGAGGATGCCTGCAATCTTGTGCAGGAGAGAAAGCTTATTCGCCTGCGTCTCGTAACAACGATTCCAGGTACATCCTGAAACCCTGTACGAATTTTAATACAACCCCGTGAGGCTCGGTGAGAATCGAGAAAAAGCGATGCGTCATTCAAATCTTTCTTACTACAAGATTCACACGAGACAAATCACGGCACGGCACATCCCAGCTTTCAGCGCCTCCTGATTGGACCGCTTGGCCCTTCTATTTGCATAACACAACCGTGACGCAAAAAGGGCGGGGACTACGGCTTGCCATGTGTCGCCAGAGTTCTCCAAGTAAATAAAAGGCGATCCAAGATGCTCCTGCAACAGAACATCGCGATTTCGAGGCAGCTCTTTGAAGATTTTCCCCCCCTTTCGAGAACCAAGATGCCTCAGACGCTGAAGATCGCCAGCCGGGCATCCTTGCTGGCCAGATGCTTTCCTGAAATAGGGTCCGAATCACTCCTCCGTTCCCAGGCGAGGATGATCAAGACCCACAAGACCCTGGACGAGATGCCGGGACCCAACGCGCTCAGCTTCTTCACCGACCTTTTCTGCAAAAAAGGGCTGTCGAGACTGCATGAACTCCAAGTAAGTGATGCTTTTGTGTTTCAGTACTCACTGTCTGTGTATAGGATATAGCGTGCAAAGTATATTCTTAGAAAGTTTGTCTTCAGACAAATGACCACCGAGTACAATTTTGCAAGCTTCCCGGTTTCACTGAACGCTTGATCTGGCAGAGTTATGCGAAATTAATAACTGCCCTCTATGCGGAATGGAACGCTGGTGAGGCCTGCAGGCACTTGGTATCTTCAAGGCTAAGGAGAAAGTGAATGTTCAAGTTATAGGCAGTGGCTTAAAAGAGACCAGGAGAGGTCTTTGAATTATTCTGAAGCCTACCTGCTTTGAAAATATCACCTGTAGGAGTTGGGCGTTAGAAGCCGAAGTCCAGAACGTAAGAAGAGCCAAAACAAAAATAAAAAAATAAAAATAAATCACAGGCATTAAAAGTTTCCCCAAGTCATGCTGTGCATTATTTCGATTACTTGCTCAAGCAGTTTAAACATGTGCCCTGCAAGGTACAGTGGGGTCTCTACTTAAGAACTTAATCCGTATTGGAAGGTGGTTCTCAAGTTGAAAAGTTCTTATGTTGAATCTGCATTTCCCATAGGAATGCATTGAAAACCCTTTAATCCGTATCTGCTCTTTTCCGTCCATAGAAACTAAAGTGGAACCTCTACTTAAGAACTTAATCCGTTTTGGAATGGTGTTCTTAAGTTAAAACATTCTTAAGTTGAAGCAAAAGTTCCCATAGGAATGGACTGAAAACCAATTAATCCGTTCTGGCTGTTTTTTTGTTATGTAGAGGTGCGTTCATACATTGAAGCATTAGTTCCCATAGGAACTAATGCAAAGCTGGTTAATACGTACTCTACCACTAGGGGGAGAATTTTTTTTAACCTAAGATGACCTAAGGTTAAAAAAAGAGCAGGAAAGGTTTTTTTTCCTGTTCTTATCTTGGATTTCTGTTCTCAAGTAGAAGCAAAATTTAGCAAATGGAGCTGTTCTTAAGTTGGATTGTTCTTAAGTAGGGACGTTCTTAAGTAGAGACCCCACTGTACGTATAAAAGGAGGTGTAAGGATTCTCCCTCAGGTACACTCAAAATTTATGATGTACACCGCATGTCTCCAACCTGGCTTGTAAAAAAGCTATTTGAATTATGTAGACTAAGAATGTTACATTTCTTGGCTTGCTTGTCAACACAGCTCTGTCCCATCTCAGCAGCTGCACAGGTTGACCCCCAGTGTAGTTGCCCAGCAGAACAGAACAGAGGGAACAGGTCCTAAATCACCAGGGTCCATTAAACACTCTGTGTCTGTGATTCCCAATTAAGTACGTAATTTTAACAAGGATACATTTTAAAAATCTGATACAGTTGTTTACAGGCTTTGCACAGTATCTCTTCTTGCTCAGACCTATCCTGAAAGTTAGAACATTCATGCATACTTTTCTTCTTTCCTGAGGTCAATTTTTAATGCTGTCAAATATAAGATTATATAAACATTTTGGCTCCAGGAACTACTGGAAATTACAACACAACAGCCTGCACTATTTTCCTCTTTTTTTTTAAAAAAAAGAAAAAGCCATTGCTAAACATTAGAAGCCCCTGGCCCAAAAGTATGGTGGATCACAACGGCTGTCATCCATATTATCTTGCGGTTTCAGAGTGCAATGTTGTATTAGGAACTACTAGAAGGCAAACTTAGCTCTAAAATGTGCCTCTTCATCTTTACCCAAACATAATTCCAGTTGTGTTAATGAGGCTTACTCCTGAGTAAAACTACAATTTTGTGCAGACTTAAGTGCCCTTCATTTCAATGAGACAATAAAGTAAGTTTCTCACAGTCATAGTAAAGAGACGAAAAGGTGTGCAACTTCAAGTAGTCTGGCCTTCTCCAAACTGAAGTTGTATGGGACCACAATGTCCATCGTTCCTATGGGCACCATGGCTGGGAACAGTGAACTTGATTAGTCAGGGAAAGATCCACATGATGACGCTTGTAAAGAATAAGCTACACATCAAGGTACAGTACTACATATGTTAAAGTTGGGGGCGTGATTGTTTGCTGAAATGTAACTCAGCAAAATAAATAGATTTTTCAAAAATCCCCTGTGACATCAGATTTGATTGTTCAGCTATCAGAAAACTTCTGAAACCAAATGAAGCTGATTATTTACTCATTTGGCCACTCCTGTCTGTCTTGAGGGCTCAGGCAACAAATGAGTCTTCATGCAAAGAAATGGATCTAGTTTGACTCATGACACCCCCAAATTTTGCCCATTGTTTATAAAAGGATGACAGAGTACGATTTCCCACACCACTTCTTATTATGTGAAGTTCTTGCAACACATTCTTCTTGCCCACTCCTCTTCCCATCCCCTTTGTCGGCATCCTTCAGTCTCAAGAGATTATGGTAACGTGCTCTGAACAGAGGTCTTGGAACAGCATCTAGTGTGGCTGAGAAGGCCAATCCCCACCTCCTGTTCCTCTGAAAAAAGATACCTGCTTCTTAGCAGTTACAACTCTGAAATTCTGTTCTGTGGGTCAGTCAGAACAGGATGGGCACTGTTTTGATTCCAGTGCCATTTATTTTCAAGGAGCTAAAAAGACACCCTGTGAGCTGGGTACCTCAGAGCGTTATGCCAGAGGGTGGGAGTTTGATTCCTCACTTTGCCTCCAGGGAAAGAGCCAGCCTGGGTCACCTTGGGCAAGCTGCACAGTCTCAGGGCTTCACCTCAGAAGAAGGGACCCGTAAACCCCTTCTGTGTACTCTACCCAGAAGACACTGGAAAGGGTTGCCATAAATCAGAGTCGACTTATAATACAGTTATTGTTATTAAATAGATCCCTGAGCACCACTTCTTCTCCACAAGGCTAGCAGCACTTGTGAACTCTAATTACTTTTGGGTAGTTTGTGACGTGCTTATTCTTTGAAATGTAATAAGTGCCCATTAAATACCAGTGTTCATTTATTGTCATGGACTCTTCTGCTACAACATATCGCCTACAAGCACAGAATTTGCCCACCCCGTGGTTGTGCATGGGGTCCAATCCACACGAGGCACATTCCAGCCAAGCATTTTTTTAGTTTCACTTACTTCAAGAGAGGAATTGTACATCTGTTTAAATCTGCCACCCTAAGTCAGTGGACTTGGAATACTCCTGTCCTTGGAGCACTTTCTGTATACAGGAGATTCCAGGAAGCCACTGCCTTAGTGATGGCAATTTCTTCACGTATTTTACGGTAATAGTATATAGAGGTTCAAAGTGAGCATTCCTTTGCTTTGGCGTGGATGTAGTCTTCCCCTTACTCAGCAGAATGTGGCCTCAAAAATGTCATGGTGCATTACTGAATAGCTTTGTATTCCATATGCAGAGCAGATGTGTTTTTTTTCTCCATGGGATTAAGGGTGTCAGACTGCTTCTGCAAGGGATAGAAACTCAGAAAGCAAAGCAAGGCCTTATTAGCCCTTTGAAAAGCTTTCCTTGTTAAAGCCAGGTAACTGCTTAAATCTGGGACGGGTGATCAGGTGTCCTACAGATGTTTTGGACAACAACTGCCACTAGCTGTGATCACCTGCCATGTTGATTAGAGATGATGGTAGTTGTAAGGTAAAGGTAAAGGTTCCCCTTGACAATTTTTTTGTCCAGTCGTGTCCGACTTTAGGGGGCGGCGCTCATCCCGCTCTTCAAGCCATAGAGCCAGCGTTTTGTCTGAAGACAATCTTTCCGTGGTCACATGGCCAGTGTGATTTAGACACGGAACACTGTTTACCTTCCCACCGAGATGGTACCTATTTATCTACTCGCATTTGCATGCTTTCAAACTGCTAGGTTGGCGGGAGCTGGGACAAGCAACGGGCGCTCACTCCGTCGCGTGGATTCGATCTTATGACTGCTTGGTCTTCTGACCCTGCAGCACAGGCTTCTGCGGTTTAGCCCACAGCGCCACCACGTCCTTCCACAGTGCCACCACGTCCATGGTAGTTGTAATCCCAAAGTATCTTTAAGGCACATAACTGTGCCTGGTGTAAAGGCTCAGGATTTGACACAAAGATGATGCTGGAGTGGCAGAGGGGATCGGTAGCTTTGTTCTTCTTTCTTCTTTAGAAATGCTTGACTATTGATCTAAACTGATGTGCGGGTGGGATGGAACGTTGCAAATTATGGTACAAAGGGAGACCTTTCTTGGCTCCATGATAAAGAGGGAAATACTGGTTCCCCTTCTTCCTCTGGAAGTCTTTCTGAGTATTGGAGGTTTCGTAACCATTTCTGGCCCTCTGTTTCTGTCCTAGATTGAAGGCAAAGCCAAGTATGGTCCAGTGTGGAAGGCCAGCTTCGGGCCCATCCTGACAGTCCATGTTGCAGATCCTAGCCTGATCGAGCAGGTGCTCAGACAGGAGGGCAAGCACCCCATCCGCTCTGATCTCTGTTCCTGGAAGGATTACAGGGTCTGTCGGGGACATGCCTACGGACTGCTCACTGCGTAAGTATTCACTGTTTTTTTCTTTGCATATGCAGGTAGGGGAAAATGTCCAGGCAAAATCTGTCAGTCCAAAATTTAAAAACAAAAAACAAAAAAACAAAAAAACCTCTTTCCTCATGCACCAGCCTCAGGAATCTTTCCAAATTAGAGATTAACAAATCTGCCTGTTTTACTTTGTCCCACCTTCATGTTTTACGAATTTTTGAAGTATAAATTAGAAAAAAAGAAAAGAAAAGGATGTTCTTGGCATTTCCTGTGATATAAAAATGAACCACAGGCTCCAGAATTAGTGGACAGTTGACTAATCTATTACCACCACCCACATATAAACACATGTGTAGTTAAACAAGTTGAGTGTTACATCTGTTTCCTGTCCTCTACCCCACTATTTTTAGCATTCTTCTCAGCAGAATGAAGAAACAACCACCCTGCTCTCTGTATTACAACAGCCTTTCTGCAGCCTAGCATCCTCTGGATGTATCGTTCTACGTATCTTCCCCTCATAAGCCAGCACACCATTAGCTAACATGTCTGGGGATGAAAGGGTGTATAACATAACTCATTGGGAGGAGAGGGGGGTGGACTGTGGGATGGCTGTGTTACAAGGCACGGGGGTGGCTCACCTGCAGCACAGGCCTGCGGTGGCCCCGGACTGGTGCATCAAGGACCTGGTTGGGGTCTCTGTGGTCAGAACTGCTAGGTCTCTTTTGAGACAGAGGACACTGTTTGGGAGGTAAAAGGCTGTGCCTGGCAGAGTCTGAACAAGGAGCGAAATCAAGTTAAATAGTCACTCTGGGCAGCAGCAGAATACATGAAAAGGGACAGAGAGTAGCAGCCAGGAGGGGAAAGCCTGATGGACCGGGGAGACGGCAATGCTCAGTGGTAACAAGGAAACAAACCTCAGTCAGCTACCTTCTTTCTGGAACCCTCTCCTTAAGACTTCTCTGCCTCCTCCAAGAAACTCTGAAAGAAGAGGCCAAGATCTCCACAATGTTAGGTTGGATTGGAACCGTCTGCCCTTGTGCAGCTTTGCTGCCCTACTCCTTAGCCTCAGAGCAACACCAGATCGAATCAGAATGGGGGCGAACACTGCACACGTACACAAAGCTTGCTTTTGTGTCCCGTTTGCCCAAAGAGCCGTCCACCACTCTCACAGTGGTGAAATGTGGAAGGGACAGCTCAGCGTTTCTAGCCTTTCACGGCTGTTAGACTGTGGCGGCTCAAGTGCAAAAAACGATCCTGAGGGATAATCTCTTAGAACCAGGAAGCTGGTTCTGAGCCGCACTTCTTCATTTCACCTGAAAAAGAGCTACGGAGTTTCTCTCTCACTACACGTAGGTCAAGATGGCCATCCTCCTCCAGGTGTATTTCATGTCAGCTCCTGAACTGACTTCTGCTGAGGTTCGCTAGTAGCAATTAAAACCTCTGCTGAAGTAATTAGGAGGACCTCACTCACCTTAATACAGCTTGGCTCATTTGATCTCTATTTTTCCCGCCTCTCAGCAATCACGTTTTGCTTCCTGGAAATGAGTCAGGCTTAGATTGCAGGATCTGGCCTACGAGGCTTGTGGGGAAAAAAAGAAAAAGAAACAGGGAGTGAGGAATCCTTGCAAAAAGCTATCAGCAACATATGACTCAGAGATGCTGAGTGAGAAGTTTCCTCATCAGCTGGGCTGATGCTTCCGCTGTCTAGACACAGGATGTGAGTAAGGAGAAGAGGAAGCATAAAGTGAAAGGAAAATTTCCCGCCACTCTCTCTAAGCATAACTCAGTCTTTTCCAAATGCCTTGTAAGATTTGCTTCTGAATTTCAGGGTGGAAAGAGAGATTCCCGCCCCACTTCCTGTACAGGGAAAATGCGTGTCCCGCTACCACTGAGAACCTAAATAAAACGTGTTTCCCTTGTTTGAGAGGGAAGGGTTTTCTCGCTTGCTTCATATTTTTGCCATCAAAACATGGGTTCAGGTCCTTCTTCAGCCACATCAACTAACAGAAGATTCTTTCTACCTTACAGGGAAGGTGAAGAATGGCAGCAAATCCGCAGCATCCTGGGGAAACACATGTTGAAGCCCAAGGAAGTGGAGTCCTATACAGGCACTCTGAACAATGTGGTAACGGACCTGATCCACCGGCTGCAGCACCAGCAAAGCCTCCATGAGCAACATGTAGTAAAGAACCTGGCCAATGAGTTCTACAAGTTTGGACTAGAAGGTATTTTTCTTTGTTTGCAGTAATAGTAATATTAATCATCATATGATCATTGTTAATTATTAATTAACATTGCTAATTATGTACAGCCTAGGGCTTGGAACCAATTAGTTTCAGACAACAAATAACCACATCCAGTTTCTTTTTGTCCGTAACTAAGGCCTAACTAAGTTGCATTACAATTGCAATGTTGTGTAACAAATGACAGTTATACTCCCTTGCAGTCTCCCTCTGACTGGGTTTCAGTTATTCTTATGGCAAAGCCACCTTGTGACTTCAGATACTCTCAGTTATGCTTCTGTTGTCCCTGTTTCTGGACACTTTGCTGACCTTGTGCGTTGCATGCAGAAACTGGCACTCTACACAGGAGTTTTTAGGCTCCTCTTGGTAGTGCCATTTTGCAGCTGTCAGGGCTGCAAAGGTGAAAGCCTGTGGGTGGACTTTGAATAGATCTCTGCCCCTCCTAGTTTCTAATGGTCAATTGCAAATCAGTTGAGAGGAGCTGTTCCACAATCAATAGACTCATGGGGCATACGTAGTTAAAAAAAATGCATCACATGATGTGTGTCATTTGTTACTTAACTTTTTTTGAATTTTGTTTATGATTTCCAGAGAGGCCAGTCACAGGCCTCTGATTTTTCTGTTCGTGTGAGAAGAGGTCATTTTAAAAAAAGATTCTGATGAGTTGAATAAATCCTATGTAAACTCCACATCCAGATTGTTTCTGAGTTGTTGGAGAGGTTTCAAGGCACAGCAAAGTATATTTCGGACATCTGTGTTTGAAAACCGCATTTGAGCATCATAGACTGACCTGATCACAAGGCTGGTTTGTCATGTTCAAATCAATGCTTTGGAAAAGACTATAGTGACTGGTATTTTCCCTCCATGTTAGAAATGGTCAGAGGAAGCATCCTAAGTAGTCTGTCTGCTTTAGAACTGTGGGCGACAGGGGTTGAGACAAAGGGGGAGACAGAGAAGTGACATTTGCTTCAGTGACCTGATTGGGTGAAACTCATTCTGTTCCTGGCTTGGACTATTCTAGGCATCTCTTCCGTCCTCTTTGAATCCCGCATCGGTTGCTTAGAACCCAAAGTCCCAAAGGAAACAGAGACCTTCATTAGCTCCATCAATACGATGTTCGTCATGACTCTGCTCACCATGGCAATGCCCAAGATCTTGCACCGAATTTTCCCAAAACCGTGGCAGAAGTTCTGTGAATCTTGGGACTACATGTTTGAGTTTGGTGAGTATTATTGCATCCCAGAATATGCCACATTGTCTGTAAGGGTCTCTCAGGCTGTCGGTAAAGAGTCCTTTGTGGCTGAAAAGCTTTTCAGAATGTTTGTGGCTCATTAGCATGGTTTTGTTCTATAAGGATTGCAGCTTTTTTTTAAAAAAGCTAACCTTTTGTGGACTAGAAACTTGTTACTTCCTTCAAAAGCAGAAATAATTGGTTTGTTCCATGGTCTGATTACAAGTATGGAGCCATTATTTAGAACCTTTGCTGCAAGCGTTCCTCTGTCTAGCTAGCAGTGCCCTGAGAATTTGATGGAAGTGCGCCATCTAAATAACTAGATTGAATAAATGTACCAAATATATCAAGGGTGGGCAATCTGTGGCCCTCCAAATGTCATCAATACTGCAACTCTTACCAGCTCTAGTTTTCAGAGTCTTTGGTGAGGGATGATGGGATTTGCAGTCCAGCCTCTGGAGAGCCATAGGTTGCCCATTCTTTATTTACATTCAAAATGCCAGTTTAAAGCAAGAAGCACCCATTCTAGGTGGATAGAACTGTGATGTGTGATTGAACATGTTGTTTCTGACTCCTCTCTTTCCAACTCCTTTCCAGCCAAGGGACACATTGACAAGCGGATGGCTGAAGTTGCAGAAAGAATCGCACGGGGAGAAGAAGTGGAAGGAAAATACTTGACTTACTACCTAGCCCAGGAAAAACTGTCCATGAAATCCATCTATGGAAATGTGACTGAGCTTCTCCTTGCTGGTGTGGACACAGTAAGTGTTTTGGAATCTGTCAGAGCTCAAATGAGCTCCTCTGTGTACGTGCAAAGAGCCTTTCTGATTCTGAAATACAAACGCTACATAATACCTTTATAGACCACTAAAACATCATGATACAATATGGAAGCTTTTATGGATCAAGACCATTTTGTGGCCATGATCCAGGAAAGCTTGCACATTGTATGATGATTTTTTTTAGTGGTCTATAAAGGTATTGCCTATTCTTGCATTTGTATTTTATTTTGTACGGATCACACAGCTCCCCTTTATTTCTGATTCTGGGGCATGAGGTCCCTTTGGCTTTCTCTGTTTAGAGAGTTCAAGAGCAAATCTGCTTTTCTTCTCCTAGCTGCTCATCTCATGCTGCTGTAATCAGATGTTTGGCTCTCCCACTCTTGAACATGCAGTCATAATCTTTACTTATGTTCTGCTTGTCAAGACATTGGCCTAAATCCAGATGGTCCTTAATTAGAGTAGACCTATTGAATCAGTGAGGTTTACATATATGTCAGCTTCCCATTCAGCCACTGGTGCAACAGATCTATTCCAGGTGGCAGTACCAGCTTGGCTTAGGCCAAAATGTGCTTCTTTTCTGCATAGCTACCATCCGGCTGAGCCAGACTCTCTAGCAGCTCATGGCTAATCTCGCCTTGCTTACACCCCTGCAGATATCAAGCACTTTATCCTGGAGCCTGTACGAGTTGGCCCATCATCCAGAGGTACAAAGAGCCCTCCACAAAGAAATCACAGGAGTCATGAAGGACAACCCGATCCCTATGGCAGCTGATGTCGCTCAGATGCCACTGCTGAAGGCAGTGGTGAAGGAGGTATTGAGGTAAGCGGGAAAGAAAGTGCGGTGTTGGGGAGGCGCAAGGATGTCTTCACTCACTGTGGTCAAATCTGTGCCTGCTCTGCTGCCCTTTAGAAAAAAGAAGAGAAGCAAATCCTGGGAATGTTAGTTTTTATGGACTGCAACTCCCAGAGTCTATGTTGGATAGAGGATTCTGGGAGTTGCAGTCCACAGAAGTAATATTTCTGGATGTTTCTGACATGTTGGATGCACCTGCCAAGGCATATGGAAATGAAGATGAAGAGGATGCCAATATTGCTTTAGACCAGGAATGGGCCACACTGGATCCTTTCAGATATTGTTAGCCTGCAACTTCCATCATCCCTTAGCTTTGGCTGTACCGGTGAGGGCTGATGGGAGCTGCACTCTGGTGACATCTGGAGGGCCCCAAGTTGCTCTAGTCATTTTAGTATTCTGCTGAACCTGACATGAAGAAGTGAGATCATCCGGAGGTTGGAACCTTCCGCAGCTGTGTCGGCACAGAAAGCAAACATCCCATGATTTGGCCACCAGCCTGCACCCCTTTGGCTCTCTAAAGTCAGGAGGACCCTACTTCATATGCTCAAATCTGATCATGAAAGCCTGGTGCATCTTTTTTGATATTAGGAGCTGTAAGGGTGTAGCCACTTAGCTATAGAGCTCCCACTGGATCCTCGTGCATTGCACTCAAAGCCTGCAAGCCCAGGTAGCTGAGCAAGTGTTACATTTGATTCCTTTAGGTTCACTTTGGCTTTTTTTATTCTCTCCGCACAGGTTGTACCCAGTGATCCCTGGCAATGCACGTGTCATCTCAGACCGGGACATCCAAGTGGGAGAATACCTCATCCCCAAAAAGGTGAGCATCACACAAAATGAATGCGGATAGGATGGAGACAAGGGTGATGTCTGTGCTTGGACGTAGATGCAGAAAATGGGAAATCCAACAACTGGATGGGCCTCAAAACAATAAGAACACTGGCTGAATTTGGCCGTGGGGCAGTCCTGGAAAAGTGATATTTCCAACAACATTCCAAATCCTATGGACAACATAGATACCAGGAGTTGTAGTCCAAAAAAGGAACTTCTCCCAAGTTATGCTATAGGCCTACTCAGTCCATAACATGGTGATATGGAGCCTTTTCTGACCAGAGCTAAATAGAAGCAGTAGCATTAAATGAGATGACGCAAGAGAACTGTGTGAGGTTTCAAGGACTATAGCTCAGTGGCAGGGCAACCACTTTGCATGCAGAAGATAGCCGGTTTGATCCCCAACATCACCAGAAAATGAGGAAAACCCTGGAGACTGGCTGGCTATAAGTGTACAGTACAGTGATTTGACTGTATGGGATTTTGGGGTGCATGGAGGGAGTTCTGATCTCCAAAATAATTTTCCCAACCTCTGCTCTAAACATGAGTTTCTAGACTGCTTTTCTCATGACACCTTTTTTTCCTTCTGCTCTCTTAGACTCTGATCACCCTCTGTCACTATGCTACCTCAAGAGACAAGAAATACTTCTCCAACCCCAACGCGTTCCAGCCTGAGCGCTGGCTGCACAAGGACGGCGCCCATCACCCATATGCCTCCATTCCCTTTGGCTTCGGCAAGCGCAGTTGCATCGGCCGGCGCATCGCTGAGCTGGAACTGTATCTGGCTCTGGCCAGGGTGAGTGTCTGCTTTGGGGCAAACCCTTGGTATCCAAAAAGTTACTTTTGCAAGCCCTGGTAGAGTAAAGGCCTGTCTGCTTCAAGAAAGAGCCTGCCGAATCCCTCTCTAAGGTTCCAGCTAGCCATGGGGCTACCTCCTCATGTGACTTTGTCGCTGCATGTCTGGCTAGGAATCCAAGTCCAACTGCATGCAACGCCAAATGGGCCCTCTAACTCTTGAAGCAGTATAGGGGACGGGTCACTGGATTACTGCAAAAAAAACCCTTTCAGCTCAATCCTAATGTGGTGTGGGTTCACTCCACTGATCCCTCCTGGATCTTAATTTTGGGAATCAACCTGAACTTTAAAGAGAGGTGACTCTGGGATGCCTGGAAACATTTTTCTACTTGAGGCAGAGGAGAGAATAAGACAGAGCCTCCCCATTTCACATATGGAAGAGTCACAGGTAGAGACATTGAGAAAGAGCCTCTGTCCTCCACCTCACCTGAGGGGACACAACAGCGTAGATGATGCATGGCAGGCTCTTGGGCACCCTTGTTGCTTAACCTCAGCATCTGCTCCCTGAGGCACCTGGCTCACTCTGCCTAATGGTAGAGCCGACCCAGTATCTTGACAGTATCATCTTCCTTTGATCCCTTTTTAATGCCTCCCTCAGTTGCTGTGCTTCCTTTTCTTAAGGCTTTGCTCCTAACGTGCTCTCAAAGGATGCTAATGGGGATTGAACACCCTCTCTCTCTCTCTCTCTTTCTCCTATTAAAGATCCTGATGCATTTTGAAGTGAAGCCAGAACAAGGCGGCCACGCCGTTAGACCCATGACCCGTACTCTGCTGGTACCCGAGAAAGAGATCAACCTGCAGTTTCTGAACCGCTGAAGGGAGATGGAGCAGAACCACGTGTTTGTGGTTCCCAACAAAGCAGGACCCTCAAGAGGAAAAGGGGCCCTAGCAGTTGGCAGTGAAGCTGCACCCTCTGAGCTGTTTGGGACTTCCTTAAAAGGTCCACCAAAGGGAGAAAATGAAGGAGAACCGCATCACTCACTGACTGAGATCTGCTAAGGACGTAGCCCAGGGCTACCTCTGGGAAGGTGCACATTTTATGTCTCTCAAGGCTCCAGGGAGTACATCTGAAGGTTGCAGTGACTGTGTGATGCACATAACGTCTTCAGGAGTGTCAGGAGTACCAGAAGCATCAGGTTCAGAACCGTCGGTATCGGCCACGTTGCCTGTCATGATGCCAAGGTGGTGCCTTCGACTTCCAGATCTCCACCTTCAACCCCACGGAGAGGTTTCTCTCTTTCGAAGTGAAAGAAACACACTTCAAAGGGCTAAAAGATCCTCGGATAATAGTGCCGTTGAAACCGAGGTTTAACCAAAAAAGTCACCTGCTGAAACGTCCTCTGAGTTGTCCTTTCTTGCACTCCACTTCGACCTCTGAGCAGTCTGCCCCTCCGCCTCAGGAACCAACTGTCAAATGTACTTTGACTTGGATTCCATTGAGCAGGAGGGGGTTGGGCTGGATGGTCTAACTGGCCCCTTCCTATACCATTATTTTTCTGTGATTTGCAGCACTAGCTGTATATGAGCAGAAATCCACTCAAGTTGAGAACACAGCGCAGATCTACGTGGTCTGGAGATGAACAACAATTATGTATTTAAATGCCTTAATACTATTCTGCTACGGTTTAATATTTAATGCATTTCCCAGTATATTTATATTTTTATGTCCTGTAATTTTTAAATATATAAATATTTTTATCTGAAGATGTCAGAAAAAAAGAAGACAATTGATTTTATATTATTTTATTGTTTAATTGAAATATGCTTTTGTATATTTAAAAGTATATTGGAATGGTTCCCGCACCTAATGACTTTTTTGGTGCTATATTTAAATGTTATTTATTTATTATTATTTTGAATACTAATTATAAGCTACTTTTTAAACAAACAAAAAAAACCCCTGAGTTCCTTGACTGATTTTGTGCTGGAACCAAGTGGGCGTGCACTGAGCAATAATGATGGGTGGGTGTAGTTATGATACGGACTTAAAGTGAACAGTAGCTTCTTCTCTCTCATTTTTTTTCCAAATCAAGTAGAATTTAATTGCTGCAGACATGTTGGCTGGCCCATATGCCAGGACACGATTCATCAGCCCTTGATGGGTACAGGAGTTGAGCATTTCTTCTTTTGCCTCCCGGCTGTTGCTTCCAGTCCTCCACTGAGGACGGCTTACTGGAATCGTCTGTCTGTGAATGTCAGCGATACCGTAATGCTCGAATCCGGTATTACCATACGAACCACCCACATACACATTTCTGTAATCCCATGGAGGGAGGCGGGACAAAGTGATCCTCCTCTGCTAGCCATTTGCTCTCCTTACACGGAGTGATGGGCATTTCTCAGGAACAACAACCATGCCTGCAGGGTATGTGTTATAAGCAATTCTTAGAAAGAAAGAAATACTGCTGGCTCTGTGGTTGCCCAAAGCAGGAACTCCATGGGGAGCATTTAGCACATCTTCAGTAGGAGCATGAAAAGGTTCAAAGAAGGCAATTTTTTATGGAATCTGCAGCCTGACCGCCTTTCCATACCCTGGAAAGGGAATCTGAAGAGTGAATCATCACTTCTGGAAACAAGGAATGTTCATGCTCAGGAAATGTACTGCTGCTTTTGGAAGTTAGTGCAAACCAAGGAGGGCTAAGACGCCCTCTCTGCCATGGGTTGTCTGGGCAGCCTTGGGGTTAGTTTCTTTCTATGTCTTTCTCCTGGCAGTTAACAAAGAGCTTCTTGAACACATCTATGCCTCTACGCAGCTATTGGTATACACTGGTCGTATTTACATCATGCTATTCGTCCTATCAGGTTAAGACAATATATCTGGCCCTCTTCCTTGTAACCAGGAATGTGTTATCATGCAAGCTCAGCCTTTACACCCAAGTCCCAGAAGCAACAGGAAAGTTCTAATCTGTGCTAGTTCTAATCTAGTCTGTGACTGGAGCATCCCACCATTCCCAAAATCAGGGTGATGCGTCCAGCCCTTTTCTCCCCCCCACAAGCCACCTTTGATCTGTCTCTGACTTGTAAGCAGCAGTAGACAGTAGACTGAAACAGACAGCTGGACAGTAGACTGATTGAAACTTTGATGGGGCCATGAAACACACTCACTACAGAGTCAGACTATTCTTAATTTTTTTAAAATCTCTTTGCCAGGACTCTGTATTTGATGAGACTTTGTGCATAAGAACCAAACTAGATGGGACTAGAGGGTTATTTCCTTTGTTTCCTTCCTTCGTGAGCTCAAAGTGTCATAATGATCACTCCTCCCAAATTCATTTGCAAAGCAAAGCAAAGTACGCTGCTTATAGACCACCCCATAGCACTTGAAGCACTCTCTGAGTGGTTTACAGTTTAACTATGCAGGTTATACATTGCTCTCCACCCCTCGGCCCCCAGCGAGCTTGCTACTCAACATGCCAAACTCAGAAGGATGGAAGGCTGAGTCAACCCTGAGCCAGCTACCTGTACTTGTTGGGATTGAATTCAGGTCATGAGCAGAATCTTGACTGCAGTACTGCAGTTTAATCACTGTGCCATGAGGCTTCTCGTGGGTAGACCTCAAATTTCCATGAGCTTAGTCTGAGATCACCTCCTGGGTCAAATTACACATTACAAAACACATCCTTAAAAGCAAAAAAAAAAATAAAAAAATCCAGAAATATGATTTTGACAGATCTTTGCATCTGAGCAACCATACTTGCAGGCAAAGCCAAGCCTTCATTACCTGGAAACCAATACAAAAAAACAAAGTAAGTTAATTTGCAAACTACGTGAAGTGTGAAAGCCTTCTGACATAATCAGCTGCCTTTAACTACTTCAATTCTTCCCTCTTCTAATAGCACGCTACTGTTAATAGATAGGTTTGATTCTCTGTATCACTGAGCACTCTTCTCTCTTGCCCATATACAGTAACTGAGTATGGTATTTATGACGGATCACAGATGTTGGGGATATCATATGATGACCAGGAACAGGCCTCTTGTGGTCCCGTAAATGCTGGACTGCCAATCCTGTCATTCCTCAACATTGGCTATGCTGCCTAGGGTTTGATGGGAGCTGCAGCATAACAAGAGGTTATGATGAAGGATGGCTGTCATCAAGAGATGTGGAAGGGGGCACTCTTTCCCAATCTTTCTTTTCAAGCTATCTCGTTTGTGTCAGCTCGTCAAGGCAAGTGCCGTGCCAACCCTTCACATGTGGACTGCCAGTGGGCTGATTCATATGACATGGACCCATCCGTGGGAACGCTGGAAATATTGCCATGATCTTACATTCTGCAAAAATGAAATCAAGACACTGTCATCTCCATCAACGTTCTCGCTCTGAAAAAAATCAGCAACCAGCCTCGCTTTATTGATAACAATTCTAGCACAAACTTAAAATGCAAAGTTTAGGCAAACTTTTTTAAAATTATATAACACAAAGTCAAAGATGCACATCAGGTTAAGTCTTGCAGAGATGCGGACAAAGCAACAAGTAAAATCTAAATTGGAAACACTATGAATTTTGGTCACCTTAAAACAAGGATAGGGAAATTTTTCACCCGACTGGAACAGCACCCATCCCTGGGTGTGTGGGCTAACGGTACTAGGATGGAATCCTCCAGCATCTGAAGGGCTAGGTGGTCTCTCTATGCTTGTTTTAAAATATGGAATCAGGCTTAGTGGGATAACATTTTTAAAGTACAGAAGGGAAGAAGGTACAAGGCTGTCTAACAGAGTACTCTTCAGCCCCATACCATCTCCATTTCTTCATGAAATCCAACCATTAGTAACAACCCTGTTTATCTTTAGGTGAAACACGCAGGCCCCTTTTAACTCACCTGGAACAGAAAAAGGAGACTCTCCTATAGTCTTTCCTTCCTGTCTAGGAAGATCCAAAGGCCAGTCATAGTGGGTAGAGTTAGCTCAGCATCGGACGGTCATTCACTGAGAAATTGTCACGTAGAGTTTAGAGACTCATCATTTAGGAGTCAGGACAGCTGCTGCTATATTCCTGCAATTTCTCTGCACCCCAAATATGCAGATTTTATCCAATATTGATTCTGAGATAACTCAATTGATCGTCAAACTGGTCACTGCAACCAGTTGTTATTGTTTAGTCGTTAAGTCGCATCTGACTCTTCATGACCCCATGGACCAGAGCATGCCAGGCCCTCCTGTGACCAGAACGACCATTAAACTTGATAATCCTGCAAGTAACACTCATTTAGCTGTTGAATTCTGAAGTGTCCCATGCACAAACCATCACATGATATATAGTACCTTACAAATTATGAGACTGCAGGTCCTTGAATGGGTATGCTCCCAACTCAGTGGCTGAAAACATAGGTGATGCCCATAGTGTCCACGTGATGGGTCCAAGATTAAACATCTCTGTACAGACCACTTCCATATTTCCTCCCTGGACCTTGAACACAAGGCTCATCCCTGGAAGTGATTCACACCTTTGGCCACCCATCGCAGAAGATGAATAAACAAGTGACAACGCAGTTGGTGGCATGCATGGAGATAAAAAGCAGCCCCTCAGTTCTAAAGAATAAGTGTGGCACTCTAAATTTCTACGGGGCTATGTGTTTACTTACGTAAACATCTATTGATGAACTTTGCAACCACAATTTCATAATATGAGTCTCTTCTTATTCACAGTTATATAGCAGATAACATGAGCAATTATAACAACTACAAAATTCTACAATTTGTGCACCTAAGACCTCAGCAAGATAACCAATACATAATTTGCTTGTAGAATTGCATAGTTCAAGTGCCCCTCTGTTCCAACTCAGACAAAAATCAAGATACCTTCCTCAATTGAGTTGGGTGTCCATAACATAGAAGAATCAGCTCTACATGCAGAATCTTCAAAACCCTAGAATAATACATATGCCAGTTCAATTCTATATACTGTATATGAATTTACTATATTCACCCCACCAACACAAACATATGTTGTAGGGATTATATCTAGACCAAGTTGGCAAGGGCCTTTGCAGTGTAAGTGGCAACAGCAGCTGCTCTTCATGTTTCCTGCTCTTTCTAATTCAAATCTCTTACTCACAGCTCCAGTCTTTCTTAGTCCCACCTCTTTAGGCTGACCTAATATTTCATAGGGGTTACAACAGCCCCATTCTTTTCACAAACTTTATCAACAGTGTCCCTGGAAGGTCTTGCCAAAGCATCGTAAATTAGAATAGACTCAACTCAAAATATTATAGTGGGATCTTTTTTTCTTCCTCTACTTCCTGTATATGGAAAAAATGAACCAACACTCCTGTGCTTGCAGTTTGGTTGGAGGCAAGTCTTACTCTGTTCATTTAGGCTTATTCAGGGAAATCGCCCCAGAGGGAGAACACAGCTGCGATACAAGGACATCTGCAAGCGGGATATGAAGGTCTTAGGAATGGACCTCAACAGACGGGAAACCCTGACATCTGAGCATTCAGCCTGGGGGCAGACGTTGCATCACGGTTTCTCCCAATTTGAAGAGACCCTTGTCCAGCAGGCCAAGGCAAAGAGGAAGTCACAAAAGCAGCAAAATCAGGGAGCTGGACAGGGGACAGATTGTATTTGTCTTCAATGTGGAAGGGATTGTCACTCTCGAATTGGTCTCCTCAGCCACACTAGACGCTGTTCCAAGTCCTCCATACAGAGCACATCACCATAGTCTCTCGAGACTGAAGGATGCCTATTCACAGGTAAATATGCATAGGATTGCATCCCCAA